ATGAAGACACCCAGCGCCTATACCTTGCTTTCTTATACAATTCTCCAAAATAAAAGAAACTGGGCAGCCCGGGTGCCTCAGCAGTTTAGCGCCGCCTTCAGCCCAGGGTGTGATCCTGGAGACCTGGGATCAAGCCCATGTTGGGCTCCCTGCATGGAGCCTGCTTCTCCCCCTGCCTGTGTCTCTGCCTCTCTCTGTGTCTCTCATGAATGAATAAATAAAATCTTAAAAAAAAAAAAAAAGAAACTAAGGTTCCTTGGAGAGATCCATAGTTGAGACAGAGAAAGCAAAGATAAGTCTAGGATATTTTTTGGTGCCAAAAAGAAAAGTGCTATTCAAAAAAGAAGAAAGAAACAAAACATATCAAAAAAGATGTGGAACCAACTTGAAAGAGCTCTCAATGGCCAAATCTAGGACAATTTGAACCACAAAATAAAAAAAATGATTGTAATGAATGATGATCCACAGAATAAGAATCCATGATTCCATATTGATAAACAAATAAATACATACATACAAAAAAGAAGGGAAAACTCTTCCTTAGAGTAGAATTCCAACTAATAGACGCAGAAGAAATAATAGAAAATCAACATTCGGTAAAAACTAGGTAGTAATTTTTCAAGCAACATTCATCAACGCATGCTAAAATTAGTAATATGATGAGAAACTAGTATGATGAGAAAGATATTTACAAAATCTCAAAACACCTCTCCACAAGGTATATTAAGTATTAAATGGAAAAAAATAGAAACCTTACAATAGAGAAAACTGGTCACCTTAACTGACTGATGAAAGTAAACTTCATTATATGCTTCCTGATAGGGTGCACTAACGATGATACACCACCACTCTGGAATTCTTGCCAAAAATGCATAACCTAAATTCAATCATGAGGAAATCGTCAGACGAATCTAAATCGAGGGAACATTCTACAAATCAATTTGTCAGTATTCTTCAAAATTTATGAAAGGCAAAGCAAAAAATACTATTCTAGACTAAGAATACATAACAACTAAATACAAAGTGTGATCCTTGACTGGATCCTGGACCAGAAACATAACATTACTGAGATTACTGGCTAACTGTGAAAAGTTTACAGATTAAATAATATAAGCTCCAACATCAATTTCCTGATTTTTATTTTTTTATTTTTATTTTTAGAATTGTACTATGGTTACATAAGGTGTTAACATTTGGAGAGTCGGCATAAAGGGTATACAGGAACTCTTTCTATTGTTTTTGCAATTGTTTTATAAGACTAAAATTATTTCAGAAAAGAAGCTTAAAAAAAGTATAAAAGCCTCATGAGTGAATAAACATGGACAACTGTGTATATCTGCTTGTCAAATGTAAGCACTCAAAAATTAGCTATTAATATAACTCTCCCAGCCTTATTTAGTAAAGTTACTCATTTAGTAAATATTTTATATAGTGCCTACTATGTGCCAAACAAACAGAAAAGAAAGAAGCCAGCTCGTGAAGCAGGTACTAACAGATTCCTAGGCACAGCTGAGGTTGGTTATTTCAAATAAACGCATGTCCATCTACACTGTTATTCTCTCTTTCGAACTGAGTGACAAGTTCTACTTTAATTCCTGCTCTCCACTTTCTGTGATCCTGTTCCTAGTTATGTTATCAAAATGTACATATTCTAAAAACATGTATCAAATTCTAGTCATGTGATATTACCTGTAACAGTCTCTGCCACCCTTCCAATTTCTTATTTTCAAAACTGGGATGCCTTTAACCAACTTTATACTATTGTTGTGAGGATTTAAATGGGAACAAATAAAAGTAACTGGCACATAGTAGATGCTCAAAAAAATGTTATTTCCTATCCCTTAAAAACTGTATTTTCTAACCACTATAGGATCTTGAAGGATAGGTCAACAATTGTTGTACTAATTTAAAGGTGAACCCCTGTTCTATTTTCCAAAGAGCTTACTTTGGATTTTTTACCTATATATTTTATAAAGTAAATATAGATAAATCGATAAGCATTTACTTTTATCCATTTTAACAGTTTCAGTATCCACTGAAAATCCAAAATGAAAAAATATGCATAACCTCCATTTCTTTCCCAATTATGAGGCCAATATTTCTAACAGCTTTCCCAAATATCTGGATATCTCACCTTGCCACCCTCAAACTCAAGATTCCACTATCTTGTTCTATGCCGCCATCTATTAGCTATTACCACACGCCACAAAGATTTCCTCCTTTTCCTCCTTTTTTGGAATCCTTAAAGCCAGTCTTTAAAAAGTGCAAGCTTCAAACCAGTGGATCTATTTATTTCCACATTCTAGTCCTTCTCAGATGAGATATTCCAAGTGCCTGCAAAGAGTTTCAGTTCAATCTCTTTAAATCTAACACCATTAGAGATACATATTTGACTATTTATATTTTCTAATAAGCTCTCTCTTTCCCTATTTTCCACTATAGGTGTTATGGCTGTCTCTGAAAAAAATAAATGACAAAGTTATGTAGTTAAGTGTCTAATGGAAAATACCAGCTTTGCCAGAACTAGCTAAATTGGAAATATTCCTTCTAATTAGGAAAACAACTAGAAGTTGAGGGACTAAAACAATAACAGCTGTGTTAAATGCCACATGGTTCCATGCCTTGCCTTATCTTCTAAAAATATTCATATAATATTTTACCCTCATACAATAGAAAACTCAATATTACAAGAATATACTATACTCAATTATTGAACATCGAAGGGCTTTCCTCCCAATCTTACCCTTAAAAAAGGTAATATTTGCTCCTTCTATTTCACCAAAATGCCTATTAAATGACTTGCTCAACAGTCACAACGTGCATGCGTGTGCACACACACACAGTTTTTTTTTTTTAATTTTTATTTATTTATGATAGTCACACACACAGAGAGAGAGAGAGAGAGAGGCGCAGAGACATGGGCAGAGGGAGAAGCAGGCTCCATGCACCGGGAGCCCGACGTGGGATTCGATCCCGGGTCTCCAGGATCGCGCCCTGGGCCAAAGGCAGGCGCCAAACCGCTGCGCCACCCAGGGATCCCTACACACACAGTTTTAAATGGTCAACTTCAACTTCACTGATACTTGCTTAATTTCTGGTCTTTCTCAAACCACATTAAATTTCAAAACACTCTCCACATTAATTCAATGACAAGAGACCATCCTGAATAGTCACAATAACAACTTTTTCATGTAGTAAGAAAAGGATGCCACAAAGAACACTGAAAAGCTCTTAAACTGGCTTTCGGATTTTAAAGCAATTTGCCAACAATGGTGAATAACGTACGGTGGTTATAAAAGCTAGGGTAACAAAGAAGTATATAACATGGTTCACAGTCTTCAGAGGTTGACAATGTAGTCAAGATACAAGACATAAACACAGAAAGCCAGGAACAAAATAAGACAGACTATTAATTGACAAATAATTGTTATAAATACTACCAACAGTGTGAAAGGTTGAAACATACACTACTGATACTGATAGGAGGGTGGAAGCTTAAGCTAAGAGTAAGGGCAGGATAATTTCAAGCTATAGAGAACAATCAGTATGCAATGCTGTAGTCTAAATAGTAAAAGCATGTTGTTTACTACAAATGATTGCACCAGTTTAGCTGAAAGAAAACTGTATAGGAGATGTGTTGGGCAGCATTACAAAGAGAAATGGACGGAACTGTGGAGAGTACTGAGGCACAGAACATTAGGCTAATGAATCCGGAATACAATTAAAGTCACTGGAAACTAAGTGTGGGATAATGTTTCCACACTATGTGAAGGATGAAGGTTGGGGGGGCGGAGTTTAAACTTGCAGCATTGTTTAAAAGACTGAAGAAGGGACTCCTGGGTGGTTCAGAGGTTGAGTGTGTCTGCCCTCTAGCTCACGTCGTCGTATTCCTGGAGTTCCAGGATTGAGTACCGCCTCGGGTGCCCTATGGGGAGTCTGCTTCTCCCTCTGCCTATGTCTCTGACTCTCTCTCTCTGTGCCTCTCATGACTAAATAAATAAATCTTAAATAAATAAATAAAAGAATGAAGAAAACTGAGAGAGACTAATCATGTTATTTCAATCATCTAGAAATAATGCTAAGTATGCACTAGGGTAATGATTGTGGAAAGAAAAAAGAATGAAACTCCATATGAGGGAAGAACTTCTAGGACCGGTCAATGATCCTGCTAGAAGTGTACAAGGGGGAGGAAGGAATTAAAAACATTTCCAAAGCTTTAAAACAGGGAGCAGGGGCGTCTGGGTAGCTCAGCTGGTTAAGCATCCAACTCTTGAATTTAGCTCAGGTCTTGATCTCAGGGTCATGAATGAGTTCAAGCCCCACATTGGGATCCACGCTAGGCATGGTGCCTCCTTAAAAAAAAAAAAAAAAGGAAAAAAAAAGAAAAAAGAAAAAACACCAGGAAACAAGTACCATAAAAAGAAACATACCATAGGAAACCATTATTAATAAATGTTTCCAACAACTGAAATGTTTGTAAACCAAAACTCCATTTCTGTTTAACACAAAGCAATAAAAATAGAAACCTAAAGGTACGGCCTACTTCTACAATTGAATATAAAGAGCACTCATGTTCAAATATTATGAAGAAACATCTTATACTACAGCATAAACCACAGTTTGTCATAAATCTACATGAATTACTAACTACTTGATCCAGATCCATGTTATTACTCTTCTTTTTGTACAAATGACTCCCATCATTTGAATTATCATATATTTCATATTTAAAATACATTCAACAGTTTGAGATCTAGAAATTATTCTGCTTGGTGAACTACATAAATAAAGCAATGTATGTTGGGATACAGATTTCTCAATAGGCTAATCAATGTACTACCAACAGTCTAAATAGCAAAACTGAGTTACTATCAAATCTTTTATAAGTATGGAATCATGTCTTCTTTTTCCTATAAATCCTCCAACAAAGTAATCAAATTCTGAAAAAATAAAAACTATAAAATACCATACTAGGTAAGTTACACAAGTTTTTTGGTTACCTTTACTTTATCTCTTCTCAAGCAACAGAATAGGCAATTTTCATCAAAAGTCCAATCAGAAATGCTTTCAGGTTCACAGTCTGCAAAAATAGTCGGAATACTAAATTAACAGTCATGAAAGGGAATTTTTCAAGAAACAAATGAGAATTCAAAAATACTTAACAACAACGAAAAACCTGTAAGTAGTAGACAGGTTATTTGTCTTAAAATTCTTAATAACTGCTCACTAGTTACTATATCTTATTAATATATATATTTACATTATCAACTAACAAAAAGATGCTTACAGGGATACAGATTTAACTCACATAAAGTTGAATAAAAAAGAGAAGGAGATGGGAGGCTTAAACCACAAAAGTATATATATGTCACTAGGAAGAATTTGAATATCCCCCCCAAAAAAAAAACTGTATACCTTTAAATAAACTGAGATCTTTTAATAATGCAGGTCCAAACAGCCCTTCAAGAATACTTTCAAACCCTGAAAGGATGAAAAAAAATCCATATTACAATACTACTCCCTACAGTACTGTAATATCAATCTGTTGCTAGAAAAACAATAGTGTATTTTTCCAGTTCTCAAGGATCCCCAGGTTATTACTGAAGGGATGCTGAGGAAAGAATGTCAATGACAAATCTAAAAGGAGCATTTGCATTTTTGTCCAAGATTAACAAATTCAGAGCACTTTCAAGAACAATACAAAACAGACATCCCTGTAACCAATGAAAGAATGGAAATTCATTTTACAAAATACAAAAATTTTATTTTACAAATAGGATATCATTTACAAAATCCCAAATACCTTACATAAATGCCCAAGCTCTATTTTTAAAAAGGCGACTTTCCCAATGAGAGTCAAATCATTCATTCAAATTTTCCATAACATTCTACATTAATCTAAATAGCATGTTTCTGAGTATCAACTGAGATTATAAGTTTTTCAAGCTAGTAGTTTTTAAAGAAGGAAAAACCTCACCAAGAACACCTCTATCATACACAGAAAAAGTCATAACATAGTATTTTAAAAGAAAAAGACCTTTGTAATTATTTCACGTTGCCATATTAACTACTTGCTGGTTCTTTAATGAAGGTACAACTCACTAATTATACACACACAAAAAAAATCCAAAAATACCTAAACCATTATAATCTATCAGTATTAAAAAAAAAAACTTTTCTGGGCAGCCCCGGTGGCGCAGCAGTTTAGTGCCGCCTGCAGCCTGGAGTGTGATCCTGGAGACCAGGGATTGAGTCCCACGTCGGGCTCCCTGCATGGAGTCTGCTTCTCCTTGTGTCTCTGCTTCTCTCTCTCTCTGAATAAATAAATAATAAAATCTTTTAAAAAAAATTTCTGATCTATTACTTCAAACATTGCTGAACAACTCAATGAAAAACAATTTAAAAATCTTGGCCATCTTGCTTTTTCCTATGGTTCATGAAAAGAAAAAGGAGGGAAAAGAAGAAAGCAATTAGATTATCTTTATATCACAGCAATAATGGATTAAAAGCAGTGGTTCCTAACTATGGACCTCATTGGAAGCTCAAACAGTTACAAGGGATCCATGAATCCATATGTACTTAAAGCATGAGCCTCAGAAAGAATATGTCTTGTGCATTCAGTGTACAAAGTACTTTTCAAATGCATAAAAATTTTATTGTAATTAAGAAAATACAGGAGCGCCTGGGTGGCTCAGTTGGTTAAGTATCTGCCTTTGGCTCTGGTCATGATCCCAGAGTCCTGGGATCAAGCACCTCATCAGGCTGCCTGCTCGGGGGAGAGCCTGCTTCTCCCTCTCCCTCCACTATTCCCCCTACTTGTGCTCTGTCAAAAAAATAAATAAAATCTTTAAAAAAAATACAAAAATGTTACTGAATTTCTAGTATGTACTATGTATTTTGGAGCACTATGTATTTTGTCAAATAGTCTACTATGACTTACAGGTTTATAATTTTTTTTAAAAAAGGCCATAATAGAGTATCACTCAGCCAGCAAAAAGAATGAAATCTTGCTATTTGCAGTGACATGGATGGAGCTAGCTAGAGTGTATTATATGAAGTGAAATAAGTCAGGAAAAGACAAATACCTTATGATTTCACTCACATGTGGAATTGAAGAAAAAAACAAATCAACATATGGGAAGGAGGGGGAAGGGAGACAGGGAAATAAAACATAAGAGAATCTTCATGTGGGACGCCTGGGTGGCTTAGTGGTTAAGCATCTGCCTTCAGCCCAGGGCATGATCCTGGAGACCCAGGATCCAGTCCCACATCAGGCTCCCTACATGGAGCCTGCTTCTCCCCCTGCCTGTGTCTCTGCCTCTCTCTCTCTGTCTCTCTCATGGATAAATAAATAAAATCTTTAAAAAAAATAGTATGTTAATAATAGAGAACTGAGGGTTGATGGAGGGATGTGTGCGGGAGATGAGATAAATGGTTGAAGGTATTAAGGATAGGGTACTCTCGGGATCCCTGGGTGGTGCAGCGGTTTAGCGCCTGCCTTTGGCCCAGGGCGCGATCCTGGAGACCCGGGATCGAATCCCACGTCGGGCTCCCGGTGCATGGAGCCTGCTTCTCCCTCTGCCTGTGTGTCTCTGCCTCTCTCTCTCTCTGTGACTATCATAAATAAATAAAAAAAATTAAAAAAAAAAAAGGATAGGGTACTCTCTTTGATGAGCACTGGATGTTTTATGTAAGTGATGAATCACTGAATTCTACTCCAGAAAACAATATTGGACTGTATGTTAACTGAGTAAAATTTAAATTTTAAAAAAGTTTTACTCTTATGCCCAAAGGGGAGGGAGAACCACTAATTTAAAATACAGCCAGGTGAAATCCATACACAGTCAGCATTTCCTTACCACAAATACAATCACCAATCTGGGAGATAAAGGAGTAGAAAAGATGGTCCTTAGAAACCGTATTTTATCTCATTATAAGAATAATAATGCAGGGGCACCCGGCCAATTCAGTGAGTGGACCTTGATTTGATCTCAGGGCTGTAGGTCTGAGGCCCATGTTGGTTATAAAGATTACCTAGAAATAAGATCTTTAAAAAAAATAAAAAACATGGGCAGCCCAGGTGGCTTAGCGGTTTAGCATCGCCTTCAGCCCGGGGTTTGATCCTGGAGACCCAGGATTGAGTCCCACGTCAAGCTCCCTGCATGGAGCTTGCTTCTCCCTCTGCCTGTGTTTCTGCCTCTCTCTCTATCTCTCATGAATAAATAAATAAAATCTTTAAATAAATAAATAACAAGAAAGATTGAAATTTTAGAATAAGTATAAATTCTTGAAAAGGCAAAATGTAAATGTAGCAAGAAATACTCGGAACCAAAAAAAAAAAGCAAATAAAAGCTTTGAGAGAGACAATTATAAAAATCATAAAAGATAACAGAATTTGGAATAAGAAAACAGAATAAAAACTCCATCAATAACACAAAGACACTAACAAAAACTGAATCACGTATCAAAAAACCCTGAAAGGGGGCAGCCCTGGGGGCTCAGCGGTTTAGCGTTGCGGTTTGGTTTAGTTTAGCTTAGCGGTTTGGTTTAGTTTAGCTTAGCGGTTTGGTTTAGTTTAGCTTAGTGTTGCCTTCAGCCCAGGGCGGGATCCTAGAGACCCAGGATCCAGTCCCACGTCGGGCTCCCTGAATGGAGCCTGCTTCTCTCTCTGCCTGTGTCTCTGCCTCCCTCTCTCTCTCTGGGTCTCTCATGAATGAATGAATGAATGAATGAATGAATGAATGAATGAATGAATGAATCTCGAAAGAAAGAAAAGAAAGAAAAGAAAAAAAGAAAGAAAGAAAGAAAGAAAGAAAGAAAGAAAGAAAGAAAGAAAGAAAGAAAGAAAGAAAAAGAAACCAACCCTGAAAGGGAAAGACCAAAGGGAATCAAACAGGAAAAAAACTAGTATTTTAATCATAATTAATTCTAATCAGAAAAGCAACTGTAAATAGGTCACTCTTATATTGCTCATATCTGTAACATACGTTAAACCTTACAAATATAGCCGATTACAAACTATAAAGCTATATTTTGCTACTCTCTATTAACTGAATTTAATGCTACTCAGTTTTATTACTATTAAATATTGAATTTAGTAGTTGCATAGCAACAAGAAATGGCTCATGTGCTAAACTTGACATTAACAAAAGGTAAATAAAGGAAAAATAAATGTATTCAAAATTTATAACATGATCTCACAGAAAAGCCATGAGATCAATAACAAAATGCCATGGAAAATTAAATAAATACTGAAAAAGACAGCTATATGTCATTATGTTCAGTCACTAGGGCTTATAAAGCATCTTTATGTTATATGTTACATACAAGGAAATATTAATACTTTTTGGACATAACTAGTGTCCAAAGAATTCCTGTCCAACATTACAAATGATCTCAAAGTTGGTCTCCAGTCTCTTCCTCACAGCAACCTCCACTGTGTTTTCAGACTATTCCTAAAACACTGCTTTTTGACAATCTGTTCAGAGAAATTCTACTTTATTTAAAAAACAAATCCAAAATTCTTAAGCCCAACAACCAAAGTTTCTTATAATTTGGCTCTGAACTACCATTAGAAGCCTTATTTCTCAGAACTTTGTTCTCAATTCTCACAGATCCATTCACATCGGTATTCTGATGTAGCTGGTCATCGCTTCTAATTCCTAATGTTTTCTCAAGCCTTTGCATCTTCTTCAAGGTACTCTTCAATCTGTTCAATAAATACATAAGTTTTATTCATTATACATTAACTGACAGCCTACTACCTATCAGGGACAGTGGTAGGCACTTAGGCAATGGTGAACAGACATGGTACCTGCCCTCATGAAGCTTGGGTTTCCAGTTTTCTTACCCTCAGAATTCACTTATCACTCTTATCTTTTAAATAAATGTCAATTGTTTATGTTTTGTTTTCTATCACATGTGAAGCGCTGTCTAATGTAAGTATTCTATAAAATAAAATTTGCCATAGGCTATCTAAACCTTTTTTTTTTCTTTTCGTTTCATACATTTATGTCTTATCTCCTCAAGGAGATTTAACACTCTAGGAAGGCTAGACAGGTCTTCCTGTTTCCCACATTTTTTTTTTTCTCTTATCCTAGGACTCTACATGTCTGTTTTTTAGCTTCTAATTTAATCATATAGCTCTCAAAAACAAAGATTAAAAATTTTCATATATTCCCTCTTCAACCAAAATCATACTCGCTACCCTCTTTATTTGTAACCAAAGAGGAAATGCAAGTTACGAAAAATTACCAGAACAACACCGTATCAAATCATAATCAACTTCAATAAGCAATATAGCCTGTACTTCTGAAATAAAGAAAATATTATGGATGGAATGAAAAAATGGCTCGTGAGTCTTGGGAACCTTTTCTCTGAGGTAATTTTCTCTGAGGTAAGAGTATAGAGATTAGCAGTTTGAGAAACAAAAAGGCACTCAAAGAAAACTAGGAACACAACAGAAAACTAGCAATTTTTACATCAAGGTCCTTGGTATATTGTAAAACTTGATGCTTGGTGTAAAAGAGTTCAATCTCTAACAGTATCATTTTATAAAATACTAGTTTGGAGGTACTTGCTGGTAACAATCATCAACTAATACCCTGGTAAAGAGGGGACTGACAGTATCTGGAGTTCTTTGCTTAAAATTCAGGTATATAACTTGCCATCACCACACTGAACTCCATTATAAGGGAACCCCAAAACAACTGAAAAGCACTAGATTGTATAATCATTTCTATTTTATCCAAGGTAATATAAGGCAAAGAACCCCTTTTTACAGATGTTCCCAGCTTTCCCAGTGTACTGTATAACCAAAGAAATGTGAATGGACTTCTACAGGTAATAAAGAAAAGCCAGGCTCCTCTTCTCATTACTTAAGGCAATCCACCTCCTCCCCAACCAGTGCTGGACAACTATGTTCACCAAGAGTTCTTCCTCTCTCCCTGAGCATCTGCTCTTAGCCCATGCTTTCTGAAGAGCCCATTTATGGCACACTTTTCACTCTCCAAATTACCAAGCACATGAACTAATGAAAAAAGTAAAAACCTGACTTGATACAATGAAGAGAAACAATAATCTAATTACAACTAATGGCTCAAACTGAAACAGAATTAATGAAGAAAAAAAATACTAGAACTTGAAGAAAAAGTATAAATAGTATTTCTATTGGGACCAAGGAAGAATATCTTTTTTATATTTTCCTTATTTTTTTAAAGATTATTTATCTGACAAAGAGAGAGCGAGAGAGTGAGCACAAATAGAGGGAATGGCAGAAATAGCAGGATAGACTCCCCACTGAGTAGGGAGACCGACGTGGGACTTGATCCCAGGACCCTGGGATCATGACCTGATCTGAAGACAGACACTTAACCAACTGAGCCACCCAGGCACCCAAGAACAGCACTTTAAAAAGACCACACCACTTTGAAAAAAGTAGAGAATATGTGCTTGGGAGAGAAGGAAAAAAGAAAAAACTGTCCAAATAACCAAATAGAGGTATTATGTAAAAAATATATATATAATAAATTACTGATTTAGAAAACTAACTTAAGGCAGCTGCTGTTGGTTGGGGCCATGCTGCATCTAAGGCAGGAAGATGGTGGCCGCAAAGGACGAAAAAGTCACTGGACTTGATCAACTCTAGGCTCCAACTAGTTATGAAAAGTGGAAAGTATGTGCTGGGGTACAAGCAGACCCTGAAAATGATCAGACACGGCAAAGCGAAATCGGTCATCCTGGCAAACAACTGCCCGGCTTTGAGGAAATCTGAAATAGAATACTACGCCATGTTGGCCAAAACTGGTGTCCATCACTACAGCGGCAATAATATTGAATTGGGCACAGCATGTGGTAAATACTACAGAGTATGTACACTGGCTATCATTGATCCAGGTGATTCTGATATCATTAGAAGCATGCCAGAACATACTGGTGAAAAGTAAATCATGCAAAATTTTTCTTTAATAAAACTGGCCAAAAAAAAAAAAGAAAAAAATAAAAAAAATAAAAAAATAAAACTGGCCACATCTCGGTTTTTTGTTTTAAAAAAGGGGGAGGGGGAGAAAACTAACTTAAGAAATATCCTAATAATATATAGTGAATCTAAAGACCCAGAAATCATGAGGTGGCCAGGACATTCAATAATGTAAAACATGATGGGCAGCCCTGGTGGCTTAGCGGTTTAGTGCTGCCTTCAGCCCGGGGTGTGATCCTGGAGTCCCGGGATCCAGTCTCACATCAGGCTCCCTGCATGGAGCCTGCTTCTCCCTCTGCCTATGTCTCTGCCTATGTCTCTGTCTGTCTCTCTCTGTCTCTCATTAATAAATAGATAAAATCTTAAAAAAAAAAAAGGTAAAACAGGATTTTCAGAACAAGAAAAAGCAAAGAATATAAATTTTTTAAAAATTTTTTGAAAAGGAAAGTAGAGAACAAGAAGAAAACTCTCTAATGCTAAATACTATCTTGAGTCTTCCTATCAAGTGGGCTCTGAGGGCAGCCCCAGTGGCTCAGCAGTTTAGCGACGCCCTCGGACCAGGGTATGATTCTGGAGTCCTGGGATCGAGTCCCACGTCGGGCTCCCTGCATGGAGCCTGCTTCTCCCTCTGCCGGTGTCTCTACCTCCCTCTCTCTCTCTCTCTCTCTCTCTCTCTCTCTCTCTGTGTGTGTGTGTCTCATGAGTAAATAAATAAAATCTTAAAAAAAAAAAGTGGGCTCTGAGAAATATTAGTGCAGAATACTCAAGGGGGAAAAGCATGTATACATAGTACTTTCCTGGTAAAATATCTCAATTTCAAGAATAAAAGTTTAAAAGCTCCAAATAAGGGAAGATTTTCCTTTTTCCTTAAGAGAAAAGGGATTTAGACTGTCAGTCATTACATCAGTAAAAGTAAATGCTAAAAGCCAATGGAGGGATCCCTGGGTGGCGCAGCGGTTTAGCGCCTGCCTTTGGCCCAGGGCGCGATCCTGGAGACCCAGGATCGAATCCCACATCGGGCTCCCGGTGCATGGAGCCTGCTTCTCCCTCTGCCTGTGTCTCTGCCTCTCTCTCTCTCACTGTGTGCCTATCATAAATAAATAAAACAAAAAAAAATTAAAAAAAAATAAAAAAATAAAAGCCAATGGAAATATGTTCACAAAATTGAGTGTAAAACAAAACAAAAAGAAAACAACATACTTTTTTAGCCAGTCTATTTTCAAAGGCATAGGTAAAAGAAAGAAATTACTGGATATGTTCTGATTTGAAAAGCAGGACAGCATTCACACTGGGGTAAGAGTACTTAAAGTAGTTTAGCTAATAAAAAATGATTCGGAACAAAGACTTCCTAAGAAAGGGATCCCTGGGTGGCGCAGCGGTTTGGCGCCTGCCTTTGGCCCAGGGCGCGATCCTGGAGATCCAGGATCGAATCCCACGTCGGGCTCCCGGTGCATGGAGCCTGTTTCTCCCTCTGCCTGTGTCTCTGCCTCTCTCTCTCTCTATCATAAATAAATAAAAAATAAAAAGTAAAAAAAAAGACTTCCTAAGAAAACACTGTTTAGGGGCACCTGGGTGGCTCAGATGGTTAATAAGCATCTGCCTTCAGCTCAGGTCACAATCCCGGAATCCTGGGATCAAGCCGACATTGGGCTCCCTGACCAATGGAGAGTGTGCTTCTCCCACTCCCCTCTGCCCCTGCTCTCTCTCTCAAAGAAAAAAAATAAAATCTTAAAAAAATTTGTTTATATAAAAAATGGTAAGCAACATACCAGTATAGAGTTAAGTGTAAGAAATTTTACTAATACAGGGATTTGGTTTAATTTAAAAGATTCTTTAAATAGGTGAACACAATAAAATTTTTAAATGAATGATTTAGGAATAACATCCCAAATTATTACAATGAAATCTTAGGTAAAGAAGAATAAGATATGCTTAAGTAAAGTGTGTTAAGATCAAGTGTGTATGTGGGATGAGGGATCAATGTGTAATAGTCATTCATCTTTGATGTTAAGGAAATGTAAGCTTAAGATACGTTTTCTTAAAATGAGTAAAGATGAAGAATTCCAAATCACCAGAAGAAATAAAGAACACTAACAAAAAAAAAGGTCAACTACAAAAGTAAAAATTAAACAAAAAACAAGCATACTAAATAAGAAACACAAAAACCAATTTCAGGAAGAATATCAAAGAGGTACATGTTACCTCCAGTAAATATTAATTGACTGGATTGAGTGAAAGGTTGTCACATAGGGTACAGCAATATGCAGTTTATAATGAGCTTAAAATGACACATATGTTGAAACTGAAGAGGCAAAGATATGAGAAAAACAAGAAAGAAAGCAATAAATTAGGTGGCAATAACACTATCAGAAGAATTCAAAGATTAAGGCATAAAACAAAATAATAAAGAATTTTTTCTTTTACTAAATGGGTAATCTGTTTCATGAGTAAAACAGACCTGTAACTTTTTTCTCATAATGTCTCTCTGTTTGGGTTTGGTATCTGACTTCATAGAAAGAACTGAGATTTATTCTGTTTTTCTACTCTCTTCCTTAAAAGTTAAGATAAACCCACATGAGGGACACCTGGGTGGCTCAGTGGTTTGAGTGTCTCCCTTTGGCTCAGGGTGTGCATTGATCCCTGGGGTCTAGGGATGGAGTCCCACAGCAGGCTCCCTCTGCCTACGTCTCTGCCTCTCTCTGTGGGTCTCTCATGAATAAATAAATAATATCTTAAAATAAAAAAAAAGATGAACCCACATGTAAAACCAACTGGGGTGTTTTGAGAGAAGAGCTGGAACTATTAAATTTATTTAATAGTTCTAGAACCATTCGAGCTTTGTATTTCTTGAGTCAGCTTTTGGCAAGTTATAGTTTTCTTTAATTTCAAAATATTGGCATGAGTGTTGGTAGTATTTTCATCCTTTTTTGTACTTGTAAAATATACATAATATAAAATTTACCATTTTAGCCATTAAGTATATCATTAAATATATTTGTTTTTACAACATCCATCTGCAGAACTTTTTTCATCTGGAAAACTGAAACACTATTAAACAATTACTCCCTAGTCCCCCTATCCCAGCTCTGCCAACCACCATTCTATTTTTTTGTCTCTATGCATGTGACTACTCTACCTACCTCTTAAGTAGAATCTCACAGTATTTGTCATTTTGTGACTGGTTTATTCTACTTTAGCATAATGTCTTCAAGGTTCATGGATGCTGCAACATGTGACAGGATTCCCTTCCTTTTTAAGGCTGAATAATATGCCATTAATACATAGATTATATTTTCGTAATCTATTCATCTTATCTGTGGACATTTGGGTTGCCTCCACCTTTTGGCTATTATACGTAATGCTATAAATCTCTTATCTTTTAAATCTCCTACTTTATCTCCTTAGCCTTCAATTTTTGTAACAGTATTTTTGTCTTTTATTCCTTGATCAATCTTGTCACAGTATTTTCTTATTCCCCACTACCCACCCCCAACTCACCTTTGACTTTTTTATCTTCTCTATCCTTTCTTTGTTTCCTGGTTAATTTTCTTTTTTTTCCTTAAGATTTTGTTTATTTGAGTGAGAAAGAACACAAGTCAGGGGAAAAGGCAGAAGGAGAGGGAGAAGCACACTTACCTCTGAGCTGAGAGCCCGACACTGGGGTCAATCCCAGGACCCTGGGATCATGACCTAAGCCAAAGGCCGGTGCTTAACCAACTGAGCCACCCAGGTACCCCTGGTTCATCCATTTTCACTCTAAGTTTTATTATCTTGCTTTGTCTTTGGGTTTATTCTGTTGTTTTTTTTCTAACTTACGACAGAAGCTTAATTCACTTATTTTCAGGTTTTCCTATTTGTGCTCTAAAGAAAACATTAAGTATAAGAATGATTTAAGAGAACTAATCCTTTAATTATTTTGTATTAAGAAGTAATTCAGCATAATACAAATGGAATGTTATTACAGTATGGATGGATTTCAAAGCCTATGCTAAGTGAAAACAGCCAGAAAGAAAAGACAATGCTATATGAGATTCATTTTAAATGTCCAGAAAAGACAAATCTATGGAAAGTAGGTTAGTGGTTTCCTACAGCTAGGAGTGAAAATGGGAATGACTACAAATGGACACCTTATTTCTTTTTGAAGTGATAGATACATTCTAAAATTTTATTTTGGTAATTGTTACACAAGTCTGTGAATATAATAAAAATCACTTAAAATGGGTGAATTATAAGGTGTGTAAATTACATCTCAATAAAGCTGTTAATAATAAGTAATCTTGGGATCCATAGGTGCCTCAGCGGTTTAGTGCCTGCCTTTGGCTCGGGGCGTAATCCTGGAGTCCCGGGATCAAATCCCGCTTCGGGCTCCCTGCATGGAGCCTGCTTCTCCCTCTGCCTGTGTCTCTGCTTCTCTCTCTCTCTGTGTCTATCATGAATAAATAAATAAAATCTTTAAAAATAATAATTATAATAAGTAATCTTGATTGATAAATATCTGTAATGTTTTGGGGTGCCTGGGTGGCTCAGTTGGTTAAGCGTTTGCCTTCAAGTTCAGGTCATGGTCCCAGAGTCCTGGAATAAAGCCCTGCATCAGGCTCCTTGCTGGGTGAAGAGTCATCCTCTCCCTCTCTGTCTGACTCTCCCTCCTGCTTGTGCTCGCTCTCTCTCAAATGAATTTAAAAAAATCTTAAATATAAAAATTTTAATTCATAGTTACAGATTAAAATGTTTTAAAAAGTTAAACTAGGGACCCCTGGGTGGCTCAGCAGTTTAGTGCCTGCCTTTGGCCCAGGGCATGATCCTGGAGTCCCGGGATCAAGTCCCACATCAGGCTCTCTGCATGGAGCCTGCTTTCTCCCTCTGCCTGTATTTCTGCCCTGCCCCCATCTCTCATGAATAAATAAATAAAATCTTAAAAAAAAAGTTAAACTAAAATATTTATTACAAGTTTAAAATTAGAGCAAGAGCTGTATTTTAGGAGAACTAGGTCCTAAAT